CAGGTGCCCCTTCGGATCACTACATTTGTATCTTTGGGGTAAATACCCTTCTCTAAGACTGATGAATCAGCTCTTTCTGCCGCCATCTTGGTTCCGCGTTCCCCTCACAAAATGCCTGGTAAAGCCACAGAAACCGTTCCTGTTACAGAACAGGAGTTGCCACAGCCCCAGGCTGAGACAGGGTCTGGAACAGAATCTGACAGTGATGATGACTCATTACCAGAGCTTGAGGAACAGGATTCCACACAGGCAACCACATAACAAGCCCAGCTGGCAGCAGCCGCTGAAATCAATGAAGAACCAGTCAGTAAAGCAAAACAGAGCTGGAGTGAAAAGAAGGTACAGAAGGCTATGTCCAAACTGGGTCTTCGACAGGTTACAGGGGTTACAAGAGTCACTATCTGGAAATCTGAGAATATCCTCTTTGTCATCACAAAACCAGATGTCTACAAGAGCCCAGCTTCAGATACCTACGTAGTTTTGGGGGAAGCCACGATCGAGGATTTATCTCAGCAAGCACAACTAGCAGCTGCTGAGAAATTCAAAGTTCAAGGTGAAGCTGTCTCAAACATTCAAGAAAACACACAGACTCCAACTATGCAAGAGGAGAGTGAAGAGGAAGAGGTTGATGAAACCGGTGAAGAGGGTAAGGACATAGAACTGGTCATGTCACAAGCAAATGCGTCAAGAGCAAAGGCAGTCCAAGCCCTGAAGAACAACTGTAATGATATTGTAAATGCTATTATGGAATTAACAATGTAACCATCTGAAAACGAGGACTTTTTTTGGTGTTTCAAAAGAATAACTGCAGCTTGATTTGAAATTTGTACTGTTTCTATCATTAATAAAGTTATGGCTTCTTGTTGGATGAAAAAAAAAGACTCATGAATCACTGACCTCTACCTCTGAAACTAATAATATATTATATATTAATTAATTGAATTTAAATTTTAAAAAAAGAAACCCCCCCAAAAAAGAGAGATATAATAGATAAACACTAAACAAAAGACAGCAGTGTAGCTACACAAATATGACAAAGTAGACCTTATGTGAAGAGGAATTTTTAGAGATAAAGAGAAACATTTCATAATGATGTTTTAGATGGACATAACAATTCTAAATTTGTATGTACTTAGTGACAGTCTGAAAAACATGTATTACAAAACTGAAAGAACTAAACAGAGAGATGGATATTATAATGTGAAATATGTAAGTGCACCAAGAATAATTATTTTCATATATTGCCTATGGATGATTTGATAAACTTTCTGTAAAATAATTTAGCAATATCAATTAAAAGCTTTATTTTAAATAAAATAAGATAGGTGACAATAAGTACACATAAATGTATAAAGGTAAGTAAGGAAATTGGGGGAAAGGAACAAAGGAGCAACAAAAATAAGACAAAAGAGAGCAATAGACAAAGTACATTACATAAGGTCATATATATAAATTTTGCAATACCAAATGTGTACATCTAACAAGAGCTTTCTTGTAAGCAAAAACTTAAAGAATTAAAGGTAGGAATAGATGAGCCCACAATCAGAGCTGCAGATTTGAACACCTTGCACTTAGTAATTAATAGAACAAGTAGAATAAACATCAGTAAGAATTAGAATATTCAACCAAACTAGCAAAAAATCTAACCTAATGGATATTTATAGAACACTACCCAACAACTACAGAATATACATTCTTTCAAGTGCACATGGAATATTCACCTAGATAGACCACATGCTAGTCTTTAAAACAAATCTAATCAATTTAAAAGCTTTTAAATTGTGCAAAATAAATTCTCTGACAAAGGTTATTAAATTAGAAACCAGTAACAAGAAGATACCTAGAAATTGTCCAAATATTTGGAAATTAAATAGTACATTTCTAAACAGCTCATATTTCAAAAAGCTATCACAAGGTAAATTAGAAAATATTTTAAATAAGTTATGATCAAAGCATAACATATAAAATTTTGTGAGATGCAGTAAAAGTGCTCAGAGGGAAATCTGTAGCTTTAAATGTTGGAAAGGCATAAAATCTGTGGTATAAAAAGTACTGGTATTAAATTCTTTTTTTTAAATTCCTTTTTATAGTTGTACAATATAGAAGCTATAGTTTATTTAACTAATCTCCAATGTTTACACTTTAAGTATTTTCCATAATTTTGCAATTTCAAATAATTCTGTAATGAATAACCTTATGCATCTGTATTTTCACATTGGTGCAGGGTATCTTCAGGGAAAATTCCTAGAAGTGGAATTGCTGAGTCAAAAGATAAATGCATGTATAGTTTTGTTAGACATTGCCAAATTCCCTCCAGAAGAATGGTAGTATTTTACATGCTCATGAGTTATAGATAAATGCCTTTTTCTCTACAACCTGACAAACAGAATATGTTGTCAAGGTTTTCAATTTTTGTCAGTCTAATGGGTGAGAAATTGCATCTCTATTTTAGTTTGCATATTTCTTTTTTTTTTTGCATATTTCTTATTATAAGTAAAATCGAACATCTCTTAATATGTTCATGGGCCATTTTATATCTTTTTTATGATTTGTATATCCATGACTTTTGCCCGCTTTTCTATATTTCTTCTGTGATATATATTGCAAATAGTTTCTCCCATTTTGTTATTTGTTCTTTGACTTTACCTATGCTATTGTATTAATAGACAAAATTTGGGGTTTTTAAAATGTTTTCAAAGACCGATGTCAAAGAGCTTACTGCCTATGTTTTCTTCTAGAAGTTTTGTGGTTTCAAGGCTTATATGCAAGTCTTTAATTCATTTTGAGCTAATTTTTGTGCATGGTCTAAGATAGCAGTCCAGTTTCATTCTTTTGCATACAGCTGTCCAGTTTTCCCAGCACCACTTATCAAAGAGTCTGTCGTTTCCAATTGTATATTCTTGGCTGCTCTGTCATGAACACATTGACCAAATATGCAAGGGCTTATTTCTGCACTCTCTGTTCTGTTCCATTGATCTATGTGTCTGTTTTTATGCCAGTACCATACAGTTTTTATTACTATGGCTTTGTAATAAAGTTTGAAATCAGAAAGTAGGGTGGCTCTAGCTTTGTTCTTTCTCAAGATTGCTTTGGCTATTCAGGGTCTTCTGTGGTTCCATACAAATTTTAGGATTATTTGTTTTAGGTCTGTGAAAAATGCCACTGGAATTTTGATAGGGATTACAATGAGTGTGTAGATTGCTTTGGGTAGTATGGATATTTTAACAATATTTGTCTTTCCAATCCCTGAGCATGGAATATCTTTCCATTTGTTTGTGTCATCTTCAATTTCTTTTGTCAGTGTCTTATAGTTTTCAGTGTACAGGTCTTTCACCTCCTTGGTTAAATTTTTTATTCTTTTTGGTGCAATTATAATGGGATAGCTTTCTTAATATCTTTTTCTGATAGTTTATTAGTGAATAGAATGCAACTGGTTTTTCTATATTGATTTTATATTCTACAACTTTATGGAATTTGTTTATTAGTTCTAAGTTTTTTTGGTAGGGCCTTTAGTTTTCTATATATAATGTCATATTATCTGCAAATAGTAACCATTTTACTTCTTTCTTTCCAATTTGGATGCCTTTTATTTCTTTTTTTTGTCTAATTGTCCTCAGTAGGACTTCTAATACTATGAATAAAAGCTGAATAAAAGTGGTGAGAAAAATTACAGCATAGGGAATACAGTCAATAATACTGTAATACCATTTTGTGGTGACAGATGGTAACTACACTTCCCATGGGTAGAACTAAGTAATACACAGAATTGTTGAATCATTATGATGTACACCTGAAACTAATACAACACTGCATGTTAACTGTACTTCAATAAATAAAACAAAATTAAAAAGTGACAAGAATGGGCATCCTTGTCTTGTTCCTGATCTTAGAAGAAAAGCTTTCAGTTTTTCACCATTGAGTATGATGTTAGCTGTGGCCTTGTCATATATGGCCTTCATTATGTTGATGTATGTCCTCTCTATACCCACTTTGTTGAGAGTTTTTATCATAAATGGATGTTATCTATCATAAAATCATATTTGGCAGTTTCTATCAATTTAAATATACACTTACCATATATCCCAGCAATCCTATTTCTTGGTATTCAACTAAGAGATATGAAAATATATGTACACACAAAAACCTGTACATAAATGTTTATTTACTTATTTTTTTGACAGAGACACAACGAGAGAGGGAACACAAGCAGGGGGAGTGGGAGAGGGAGAAGCAGGCTTCCCACCAAGCAGTGAGCCTGATGCAGGGCTCGATCCCAGGACCCTGGGATCATGACCTGAGCCGAAGGCAGATGCTTAACGACTGAGCCACCCAGGCGCCCCTGTACATAAATGTTTAGAAGCTTCATTCATAATCACCAAAACCCAGAAACAATTCAATAGTCTATCAATTGGTAAATGGATAAATTGTACATTCATATAATGGAATAATACTCATCAATAAAATTAAACAAATTACATGCAAAAAGTTAATGAATATAAAGTATAATATGCTATGTGAAAGAAGCCAGACTCAAATGAGCTTCTTATGTTATGATTTCATTTATGTGACATTCTAGAAAAGGCAAAACTTTAGAGTCAAAGAACAGATCTGTGGATACCAGGAATGAGGGTTAGGGGAGGCGATGGACTATAAAAAGACATAAAGGAATGTCTGGGGTGATAAATTCTATGTGCTATTTAGTAATGGTTACATGACATTATTTTCAAGAATTCAAAGAACAGTACACCTAACAGGTGATTTTACTATATATAAGTTACAGTGTAATAAACATAAATTTGCCCTAAAACAATGTAGTCAAGAGAGTGGCTGAGGATACATTAAAAACAAAAAAGATAGGCATAAAATCCACTTTGCTAGGTTTGTAAAAAGTTCTAAAAATTATTTTCTAATCATTTATAATTTTCCAATAAATTTAAGTCAGGTATACCTAGAGAATAATCTCAGAGAATAATACATAATCTAGTAATTTTCTAGCACTACTAGAGTAAAACTACCCACAATTCTGAGTTTGGGGAAAGCTGAGCAGTCTTTGCCATATAATCTGTACAAAAATTATATAACCCAATACTGTATTGTTTTATCTTCATATTGTTTCTTACTCACCTGTGTTTTAACTATCTGTTCCTGTGTTGTCTTACCATGAAAACCACTGCCTGTCCTTCCAGATATAGGCAGTGGATACATATTAAGTAAAACTCACCTGCGACTTTAGGAATTCTCAATGTATTACAGAACTTAGTTAAAAATTCTTGAATGGTAATCTTGCCATTTTCTGTAATGCAAAGTAAAGTTTGGCTGAAAGAGTTACTGATTCTGAATTAATATGTCAGAAGCTAATAGTCAAATTATAATAAAAGTGAAAAGCCTAGGAGTCAGCCTATACTATTCCTTCTTCCTTAACTTCTGCATTAACTTCTGCATCTTTAATTACTTCCAGATACTTCTTGAATGTATCACTATGCTAGTAAATGCCTGTGCTATTCCAACAGCATCGTTAAAACTCTATGCCATTAGTCTCATTTCTCTACATTTATTTTCTGCAGTGCAGCAAGAGAGGTCTTTGTCTTTAAAAAAAAAAATCTGGTTACTCCTCTGAATAAAACCCTTCAGTAGCTCCTACTTGCCCCAAAACTACAAAAAAACCCAAAAACAAACAAACAAAAAAACACATCATGGGTAGGGTAAGAGGCTATAGACCAATATTCCTTACAAATGTGTTAAAGTCTAAGTAAAATACTAGAAAGTAGGATTTAGCAGTATATCTAGAAATTAAAGTTCTAGATACTTTCAAGACATACATTCTCATGGAGAGCAACAGGCTTTCAAGGAGGAAAACCAGTTCTTAGAGAAGGAGAAAAAAACTTAGCTATTACAATGGTTTGTGGCCACAGTACATCAGCAAATATTTATCTGTGGTGTTAAATGTTCATGGGCTGTGGGGTGGTAAAAAAGAACAAAAATGTCCAGAGTCCAGAAATAAACCCCCGCATATACTCAACTAATATATAACAAGGGAGCCAAGAACATTTAATGGAGAAAGGATAGTCTCTTCAATAAATGGTGTTGGGAAACTGGATAACTATATCCAGAAAAATGAAATTAGGGCTCCATCTTATACCACTCACAAAAAAGTTACCTCAAAATGGATTAAAGACTGTAATATCTGATACTGTAAAATTCCTAGAAGAAAACATAAGGAAGCAGCTTTCAGACACCGGTCTTGGCAATGATTTTTTGGACATGACACCAAAAGCACAAACAACAAAAGCAAAAATCAACAAGTGGGACTACATCCAACTTAAAAGCTTTTGTACAGAAAAAAAAAATCAGCAAAATGAAAAGACAACCTACAGAATGAGAGAAAATATTTGCAAACCATATATCTGATAAATAGTTAGTATCCAAAACATATAATTCACACCGCTCAATAACAAACAAGCAAACAAAATGATGAAAAAAATGGGCAGAGTAACTGAACAGACATTTTTTTCCAAAGAAGACATCCCAATGGCCAACAGGTACATGAAAAGGTGTTCGACATCACTAATCATCAGGGAAATGCAAATCAAAACCACAATGAGATATCATTCACACCTGTTAGAGTGGCCATCATCAAGAAGACAAGAGATGAAGGTTTGCATGGATGTGGAGAAAGGGAACCCTCAAGGGAACCCTCATACACTGTTGATGGCAATGGAAATTGATGCAGCCACTATGGATAACAGTATGGAGGCTTGCCCCAAAATTAAAAATAGAACTACCATATGATCCATCAATCCCCCTTATGGGTATATATGTAAAGGAAATGAAAAAAGATCTTTAAGAGATATCTACACTCCCATGTATTTTGTAGCATTATTCACAAAAGCCAAGATATGGAAACAACCTAAGTGTCCATCACAGATGAATAAACAGATGTAGCATATATATAGATACAACGGAATATTATTCCACCATGAGAAAGAAGGAAATTCTGCCATTTGCAACAACATGGATAGGTCTCGAGGGCATTATGCTTAGAGGAGATAAGCCAGACAAGGACAAATACTGTATATATCACCAATATGTGGAACCTAAAAAAGCCAGTCTCGTAGAAACAGAGTAGAATGGTAGTTACCAGCAACTTGGGGAGTGCGGTGAGTTGGGGAGATGTCGTTAAAGGTACAAATTTGCAGTTAGAAGATGAGTAAGTTCTGGAAATTTAATGCTGTGCTGACCTAATACTGTATTATATACTTGAAAGTTTGCTAAGAGACTAGACCTTAAATGTTCTCACCACAAAAAAATTATAATTATGTGATGTGATAGAGGTGTTAGCTAGCACTATGGTGATAATCATATTGCAATATATATGTACCAAATCAACACAATGTACACCCTAAACTTACAAAATATTCTATGTTCATTGTATCTCAATTTTACAAAAAGGAAAAGAAAAATTCTGTGGAGACTGAGTGAAAAAAAAAGCTCCAAATCACTAATACCGAGAATGAAAGTGAAGATATTATTACAGATCAGGCAGACATCAAAAAAGATAAAAAGTGAGGTCAAGGACAACTTTATCCAATAAATTTGAAAAGTCAGATGAAATGGACAAATTCCTATAAAAATAGAGCCTGCCAATATTAACAAGAAAATATAATGTTTTCTTTGTAATCCCATACAATTTAAGAAATTAAATCAATAATCCAGAACTTTCCCATAAATAAATCTCTAGGTCCATTAGGCTTCACCTGTGGGTTCTACTTAACATCTGAGGAATCTCTTAACAGAGAGTAGAAAGGGTGCCTGGGTGGCTCAGTTGGTTAAGCGACTGCCTTCGGCTCAGGTCATGATCCTGGAGTCCCAGGATCGAGTCCCGCATCGGGCTCCCTGCTCGGCAGGGAGTCTGCTTCTCCCTCTGACCCTCCCCCCTCTCATGTGCTTGCTCTCTCTCATTCTCTCTCTCTCAAATAAATAAATAAAATCTTAAAAAAAAAAAAAAAACAGAGAGCAGAAAAATAAAGACTCTCCATCTCTTTTGAAAATATAGCAAAGATAATATTCAACAGTATCAGTCATTAAAATAATGAAATTATTTTGTACATTTATAAATATCTGCTTCCCTGAGCCAACACCATGTGCAATACCCCCAGAGGTATTCCTGGATATCAGCATAGTTTACCTTCCAAAGGGTTGACACCTGGCGAAGGGCCTCAAGGACTCTGTTGTATTCTGTGCATGGCATTCTGATTGAGTACTACCCATGCCAGTCAGTTCAAAGTAACCTCATCTCCCAAGTACTGCCACCTACAGGTATAAAGTAGGCCTTGACTTACCCCTCCATTTGGTTTCACAGGGCTCAGGCTTGGCACACCAGGGCAGCACTGATGTTCCCCAGTCATGCCCCTGCAGCTCCCACAGGATGCCTTCCATTGCTGTGTATCCCATCCATACATCTCCCACCCCCACTGGTAGGAGATGCATTTATAACATAGATGCATTCAAACTACTCACCAGGTTCAGGTTCATGTCTTAACACTTCATTAAGTAAAACATTAGCTGCATAAAAGTCATTGTTCACCAATAATGCTTTGAGTTCAGAGGCATCAATTAGATCATTCTGGAGAATTTGGGTAGTAGCTAAGAGTAGCTGTGTAGCTGCAAAAAAAGAGCAAAAACAAATATTTCAACAGCAGAAATAAGAGTATATTATTCACTTTCACTTAAAAAGCTTGGGTTGCATAACAGAATTTTATTTTGTTTTATTTTTTTAAAGATTTTATTTGAGAGAGACAGAGTGTGTGCGAGAGAGCGCATGCACAAGAGAGCTCGAGCAGGGGGGAGGGGTGAGGCAAAGGGAGAGGGAGAAGCAGGCTCCCCACTGAGCAGGGATCCCAATGCAGGGCTTGATCCCAGGACCCCGGGATCATCACCCGAGCTGAAGGCAGATGCCCAACTGACTGAGTCACCCAGCGCCCCAGCATAAAAGAATTTTACATGAAACTACTAGTATAGTTTTGAAAACCATTATGTATTATAATAGCTAGCAGTTACTGAAAACTTACTAAGTGCTACAGACTGTTTTAAATACTTCTACTTTACATATTTAAGCCTTATTACAATTCCAAGATGGGCATTATTATCCCTATTTTTCAGATGAAGAAATTGAGGTTAAGTGATTTACTAAAGAATATATTGGTAGTAAGTGGCAGGGCCAGGATTCAAGTCCAGGCACCATAGTTCCAAAACCCATGCTCTTAACTAATGTGCCTTTCAAGTTGACATATGTAAGTAAGTGGTCAACCTTTCTGCCTTCGGCTACATAATACTTCATATGTGGCCTCTGAAATAACTGTGAAGCATTTCAAATGAGTTTACATCAAAATTTGCATTATTTCACTTAAAGTTATGTTACAGAGACAAAACAGACAAGAAGCAGCAGCAGCTGCTGTTGCTGCTACAAGTCACACTCTTTGTATTTATCTTATAGCCCCACAAACCCTGACAGCTTTGGTTGCTTTCCAATGCCTTCAAACAGTTGTGGTTGTTGATGCTGTTTAATTTAGTCCAGATATTACTAGTTATTCTCAGCAGGAGGGTTGGTTTGATATAAGCTACTCCATCATAGCCCAGAAGTAGAACCAGGTGGATCAAGCTTACACGTAATTCTGACGCCCTGCTCTGGTTAAAGATTATTGCTTATGTTATTACTTTACAACAAAGCTGTAGTAATCATGACCATGTGGTACTGGCATAAGAATAAATAAAAATCAATGGAATGGAATTGAGAGTCAAGAAATAAATCATACACTTACGATCAATTGATTTTTGACAAGGATGCCAAAACCCTTTAATGGGGAAAGTATAATCTTGTCAACAAATGATGCTGGGATAACTGAATATCTGCATACAAAAGAATTAAAGTGGACTCCCATCTCACACTACATACAAACATTAACTCGAACCAAAGATTGAAATTAAAAGGCTAAAACTGTAAAACTCTTAAAAGAAAACATCAGTATAAATCTTCATGATCTTGGATTATCTTTAGATGTGACATCAAAAGAAGTGACAAAAGAAAATATAAATTGGATTTCACCCAACTTAAAAACTTCTGTGCTGAAATCAGTTGGCATTTCTATACACCACCAACAAGACAGAAGAAAGAGAAATTAAGGAGTCGATCCCATTTACAACTGCACCCAAAACCATAAGCTACCTAGGAATAAATC